TATCACCCATCTCTACCTATATAGCTACTAATCTTTTGTGATTGTATTCTAGACACGAAGTTTGTTTGTTATTTATAGAAGTAATAGCACATTGTTACACTATGCACCACTTAAAACAGTTGTGACTTATCGATTCGACATATTTGACAGCAGCGTTTTTCGCGCGATTATGGCTATACTCGGTGGAACAGAACGACCGACACTCCCGAGGTTCCTGGAGAGTACTATTTGTCTTTAAAATGTTGTAAAGAAAATTATATGTCTCAAATAGTTTCAGTGATATTAAATTATAAAGTTTTTGGAAAAAAATTAGTGTTTTCAACCCTGAGTCAGCTGTTTTTGGGACGTACTAAGGAACAAGTTTTTAATCGATCATTGACTTCTTCATTTCTAAAATCGAAATAAACTAGTTTATGATTTATAAGACCGCTTTCATGCAAATTCTACCAGACAATCACTAAACAAGGCAGTCAAAATGCTTAAATCGATTAACAGACTAACAGCCCGTTTCTGATTTGAAAAAAAGTAGAAAATCTCTACTACTTATTCTCAATAACCTACGTTTTTTTTTTTTAATTTCACAAGTCAAATAGTCATAGTTTTATTAAACTGCTATCAACTGATCATCAAAAAACTAAAATCGCGAACGAAAACTAAGAAATGCTAGTTAACTGTTTTTTAACAAATTCAAACTGACTATCACTAAACGAATCAGTCATCCATTCATTCGCCGTGCGCGCGGTTTTTATGTTCCGTCGGCGTCGGCGCCTTTGTTTCAGTCACCGGCGGACATTTGCGCGTGAAGCACGTTACTGCACCGCTGCCACCGTACCGCTGCGAAGCGACTTTTTGTCGATCATTGTTTTGTTCTAGTGCATTTTTAATTAATTTTTAGTTGATAAGATACTACTGTGTTCGTCTTGAGTGTTAAGTTTAGTTTAGTTTTGTGTGAAATGTGATGTAATTTGCGCGTGCATGCACTGGCATGCAAAAGAGCGTGCTTAGCTGTCTTTAGAGAAGAATTGAACATTTTCAGCATCGACTATCATTAAGGTATAGGTAAATAATTAAATTAAATTAATGTATTTCGCGGTCCGTTGTTATCTGCGCACAATCGATATTGCGCATGCGCGTTATAGGGCTCTCAACACTTAGAAATTTAAAATTTTACTCCATTTTTACACCTCCTCTATTTTGAAATATTTGTCAAATAAAATGAACGTTTTCATATAACCTAACTTGAAACTTTCGGCTGTGGCGGTCATTTTGTTGTTCCCAGTATAAATTTTAACAATTATTTTCACCAAAAAAAGATTCCTATGAAATGTAATGACAGTGTACTTATAATGTAGCAAACAACTAATTAAAATAGTTTTCAGAAAAGTGTCAAATACCCTATTGTGTTTACACTACTAAATAGAACCAGGTTTATGAGAAAAAAGTATAACCATAGAGTGTTCTTTGTTTGACTTTAAATAAATGAATTAATACTTTACGTTCTTAATTATATGACCAGCCAGTAAGAAGTAATTCTTGGATTAGAATTTAAGTATGCGTAATTTATCCTTTTTTTTATTATTCTTGGTTTATTAAATCTAATTTATAGAAAAAAAGTACCAATAATGTAGAAAGATTTGGAGTAGCACGATAATAAAAAATAATACATGCAACAACCTATATGTTTTTCTTTTTAAGGGGTTATATACAGTTTGAAGGCCGAAAAAAAGCGAATATTCCAGATTTTTTTTTGAGAAACCTTTTAAATTTACTGATCTAAATATTTGAACATATATTATGGCATCTTTTAACAATATTTTCAGACTTAATACTAGTAAAAATATTTATTTGAGCAGGAGCTACAGCTGATCTCCGGGAGATCCTCTCCAAAAAGACGTTTTGCGGTGACCACTATATCTCTGAACTGGATCCTCTAAAATTAAAAAACTAAACAGATTTCGTTAAAGTAATGTTAAATCTAGTAAAATAAGCAAAATATATATATTTTCTTTTTTTTGACAAAATGGCGGTTTCTAGAAAAAAAAACTATTTTCTGCCAAAATATCGGCCTTAAATTGATTATAAAAAAAAGTATTAATCGCTAAGATAAAATAAGAAGCTTGTGTCAAAATTTGATATCAATCGGTTTAGCCGTTTTTGAGTAATGTTGGTCACCGATTATGAAAGCACCATTTTGAGAAAAACGCGTTTAAAGTTTGATAAGCAATTCCATCCTCTTTTAAAAAACGCCTTTTAAAGTTAGTATGTAACTTCGAAAACATTCACCGGAACGATATGTAATTTTCTGTGTGTAGTCTTAAATATTAGAAAATAAATTAGAAGTTAAAATTGAAAAAAAAACTTTTTTTTTAATTCTAACTGTATATTAAATTAATTAAGTAATTGTACAATTTTTTATTATATGGCCACAAGTAGGTATGTTTTTATGTTAAAATAGAACCATATGCACTTACCTACCAATGGAATCTTATCCCATGTGTTCAAAATTGAAAATTGGGCAATGGTGAAAAATACTAGGTGATCACGAGGCATACTCACATTCTCCTTTCAAATATTTTACCATAGACATTGAAAAGAAATAATTTAATTTACAACTAAAAATATTTTATTTGATAAATATTTACGTTATGATAATAGTATCATATACATAAAACATTTAAAAGTGTAAGCTACTTACCATCTCTGTTAAAATTTGGTTTCAGGTTGGTTCCCAATTACGATTTTGTAAAAGCACCGACCAATAGCAATAATCATAGAGTTCACAGATAAAGAGTTAATAATTTTTTTCGACGTTTTTTCGACTCTTTTTAAAACTCAAATAATAAAATAATCTAGTTCCGTGTAACTTGTATTCCATGATTCCGATGCGATATTCCGAGATTCTGCCCCAGCGATGCGTCAAAACAGTTTAGTCTCAGGGGGTCGCGAAAAAACTGTTTTTAAACAATTAATCGACAGTTTTGTCGAAGAACGACAAAACAGTTTGTCTCTAGTGTGTGCAGGCACTTCGAGGCGCTAATGTCGCATTGTTTTTTGATACATGTTGTATTTTTATTTTTAGATTATACAACAAATTAAAGAAAGTAGGGTAACCAGGCAATGGAAAATAATTGCTTGATCAAGTTTATATAGATCCCAGAGGATGATAAAAATATATTGCAAGATATAAAAGTTTATGCGATACTAAGTGAACTAAATTTCCCACTGCAAGTTAAATAATAAAAATTTAAGACGATCTTATTGATCGTATTATGAAGTGGATTGGTGGATTTCATTGGCGCTTAATGAATATGATCAATTATAGTTGGCCATTTCATTAAATGGCCAGCCCTTTAAATATGTTGTAATCAAACACAATAACAAATAATGGATTTGTTGAAAATATCAATAACAAATAGCCTTCAAATATTTGCATTCGCAATTGGCATTAACAATTAGCTTTTGCAATTGGCATTCGCAATTAGCATTTGCAATGACATTCACAATTGGCATTGGCAATTGGTATTCGCAATTGAAATTCTCTTCTAGGTAGAAGCTATCAAACACGTGTCTAGATAATTTAACGCACAGCATTATATTAATATGTACATATTTCAGTTCTTTTATTTTATTTTGGCAATCATAAACTTGGTCTTATTTATTTAGTCTTCGGGGTTAATCACATTGTGATTGGCTTGTGTTTTGATTGTTGTGTGTTTTGGTGTAATTTATTTTGAATTGAATAAGTTTTATCACATTATATAGCAGAGAGTAGGTACATCAAACAATTATTCTATATAAGAAACTAATAAGTTGAAGTTATATGAATATTTTTTACCTTCTTCAATAATGCTAATATAAGATTGTTGAATTATGAATACCACTAAGTAATAACAATTACAGATACCCACTTGTAATTTTATTAGTATTTAATTGTTGCCATTTGCAGTCTTTAGAATACTTTGAGTTTATAATTTAGTAGTTCAGTGTTTGTTTCTTTTAAGTTTACAAAATGATGAAAATGAAACTTAAATAATAAAAAAACAATAAATATTGTTTACCACCACCACTTATAAAGAGAACAAATAATAAAATAAATAAAGTAAAGTGGAAAGGTTGGAACTTAAATTAATTATATCTATGTCTTATTATTTAGACAAATGACTTGGTTGTATTATTTTTATTAGTATTACAGTAAAAATAATATGATATATTTTTTTGAAATCCTTATATAAAGCCCTTTAATTCAAGACCTATATTACAATATACAAAAAAAAATCCTAAGTACAATAACATCTATATTGGACACTTGGACAGCAAAAACAATAGTAGCTATATTTCAAATATGCAGTCCTGGAGATAAGGTAAGAAAGAATAATACACACTTAAAAGATACATGCAAAAAAATAACCCTTTCTTTGCAATCAGATAAAAAATAAAGATGGACTGTTTATAATAACATTTTCTTTATTTTTTCTTCAAAACAGGACCATCATAAGGAAGTCTTGGTTTCGGCCAAAATTGTGACTGTTTTTATGACTGAAATTCTATTTCAGTCAGAAAAACCTGTTTCAGTTGGATACTTTTGAAACAACATAAAACAAATTCATGCATAAGTACACAATGACAATGTTATATCAATCACATTAGGAAATGTAATGTTAATTTGTAGATTACAATGTTCACAGCTCATCAACCACTGCTAGGTCTCTCTCAATCAACTGAATGATGCTGTTGTTATACCAAAACAGTTTACAAAGTAATTTTTTAATTCCGCATACTTGTCTAATTGATATCATAGAATTCTTTGCTTAATGAGATATTAGCAGGTATGTATGTTGCTAATATCTCATTAACTAGTCAAATAGAGATATCAATAGTAAGGAGTAAACTTCTAACGAAACATATTTCTGTATGCCTACCCTCCCACCGACTCGAGGAAGTAACGAAACAAGGAAACAAGAAATAAAAGTGTATAAACATTATAAAATGACAAAACTCACCTCATCATCCACAGTAAAATGATGATTTTTGGAATCTAACGTTTTTATCGTAAACTGGATCATGTCGAGCAGCTCACCTAGGCAGTCGTTAGGGACCCTAGCCTAGTTACCTTTGAATAAAAGAATAATTACGACGCGTGCGCGTAGGACTAGATATTGGAATTAATAAAACATATCACTATAAAACAGAAAGCAAAGCGTCACGCGTAGCACAAACGATTCCCTTAAATAGTTGGAAACTTTATTAAATCTGTAGTAGAAACTGTTAACTTGATCGGTTTCTTCATGATCTCTTCACTTCACCACAACATAATTTGTTTCGTGACTTCGTCGGTGTCGCCGGGAAATCGATAAGCAAGAAGCACCACAGAACAATATACTGTACGAGAGTAGCACATAGACAACTTTATAAAAGTACACAGAACTACCACACAGGCCAATAATAGGCGAAAATTTTCATAAACAAGAAATTGCTTATTATATTGGTACTCTTATCAAATTAAAGCCAGTCAACGACCAGAATGATCTGCAGCATAGAAGAGTTTTATTTATTGAAAATGCCTTGTGCAAAGGGGTTGGTTTACGTTGGTGATTCTCGGAATATCTTCGTCATTATTTAATGTTTTTCAAATTCACCAAGTTTACATTTGACACTAGAATCGCCATATTTTTTTTATTAAAAAGAAAAACTACTCTATGGTGTTCGCCATTATTTGGGCATGCAAACTTGATATTATTTTATTTTGAAGTTTTTTAATGTCTAAACTACCGCTTCAGTCTTTCACAGTACGAAAGCTTTCGAAAAGTCGTAGATAATTTATTAACTTATTTTACGTATGTACATTTCGTATAGTACATAATAATTGTAATTTATATTCTAACCTTTTTAAATTAAATATGAACACTAAGCCTGATGTGATAAATTGAATTTGTCTTTTTTTTTTTGTTTTTTAAAGGTGTTTGCGGAATTCGAATCGCGGTAAAATTATGTCTGCTAATCAAGAAGAAGTTTTACCTGAAGGTTGGGAAGTTCGCAAAAGTAGGAGTACAGGTATGCAAAACTTTTATAGCCATTATTATTTTTGCTTTATGAGAAATCCACATTGAAAGCCTCTTAAACATTTTTACTTATGTGAAAACTGTGTTGGATATTTTTAAATTCATATATACGATTTCATCAAGTCTCATGTAAATTCTTAATAAACATGTGTTGACACTATGATTAATATTTGTTGTCAACTTTACTTTTACTTGTATCAATAGTTTTAATTGTATATTGAACATTATCACTGTCATGCAATTCTGCCTTACACACCTTTTCATTATTCTTGATACTGCATAATGTGCATGTTGGACTGTGTTGGTTCACAATTGGTCTGATAAAGAGTGATAAATTATATTTAGAACATGGGATATTTATTACCAACTCACACAAACACACCCTTCATATGGCAGTGTATCTCTTCAGCCTAACCAGGCAAATGTGTAAACATGCCATGCCTCTTTTTTATTGATTATTGTTACTAAGCCGAGTGGAATTATAATATCACAATCTTGTGGTATCAAACCTTTTCAGCAGGGTGATTCTGTAAAAATCAGAACCTGAATTCACTGAAACTATTTCTAGAGGATCAAAAGTCGTTGTGAACCCATATTTGAAAATGTGTGACAAAGGTGTCATACCAGATGTCCTGTCTGTATCACATGTACCATAAAAATTAGACAGATGATGTACCTCTACTTCTGTTGCCACTTCAACAACAGTAAAATAAAATTAATATTCAAGGGATCTCCCATAACAAAGAACGTGATTTTTTGCTGTTACCACCATATGGCTGTATCTCATGAACTGTGAAAGTTAGACTGTTGAGATTTTCACAAATTATGTAGTTTTGTTATCGTTATAACTACAAATATATAAATAAAATTAAGGGGCCTCCCCTACAACAAGCGTGATTTTTTTGTTTTTGAGGTATGGAAACACATTCATTAAATTAGTATTCATTAAAAAAGTTATTACAGTATTTCACAATATTTAAGCACAAAAAAATTAATTAATGTTCAACTACTTACAAAAACACAAAAAAATAATTAAGATCCAAATAATCAAAACCCTCTGTAGTTCTTACAATTATTTGACTTGTGAACGTAAGCAGAAAATTTGTTTGAAAAGTGTAGAAAACATTCCTTATTTTTTAAACATAGTAGCCTGATACAAATACCAACTTTCAGTATGGAGATCAAACATTAAAACATAACAGCTGTTTTTTTTTTATTATGTTGGTATCATATATTTCCTTTTTAATATATGAATTAATCCAACGATATTTTCTTTCGGATTATAAGTAAAAAAAAAAAAATCCTTTAATTTCTCAATGGCATGATAAGCAAAATACATATAAAGTGACTTCTACGTATTTTTACACTGTTACTTCCATGAAATAGGTACATAAATCTTCCTAATATTGTATTTGAAAACTCATATTTTTATATAACACGGACAATAAATACTTAAAAAATATTTGTAAATAAATCAATAATATTAACAATGAAATACGACTTCAATCGATATTACTATATTGCGTTAAGTATATTTTGTTTTGAATCCAATGAAAATTTTCATGGGAATATTGCATACCGATATCCATTGGTATATAACACGCAATATATGCAGCAGATTTTTGAGTGAAACACATATTCTACTAAATATCATTAAAATCCACTCATAAATATTTAAATAAAAGTTTTATTATATTAAACTACAACAAAAAAAAAAATAAGTAAAAAATAAAGTTTAATAAAAATCACTATTTCCTGTAAATATTTTAGTTGGATTTCAGTAATTTTCATTGTCGCTATGATAAATACAACCAAAATTTGTGAAAAAAATCGTGTTAGTAATTTTGCGTGAAGAAAATGAAGGTTTTTTGACCTGATGTTTTTTTTATACCTTCCGTAGCTAAAATGAGATGGATTCTTAAATATAGTCTCTTGTAATTGGCTCACAAACTCGATTAAAAATATTCCAGGCTTATATCGAATTATTTCCGTTTTTCTCGTATTTGTATCAGGCTTTAGTGCAAAGATTATGGAAATGTAGGTGCTCTAACCAATTACTAAATTAAAGAAAACAATATAACTATATCACATTCTACTATTACACAGCATGCAATAACTTAACTATTATATGTTATTCAATTAAAATGTCCCAAATAATATTTTTATTTAAAAACTCATTTACTGAAAAAATCATCAACTTACTATATTTTCAAACGTGATGTGATTTGTGGCAACAGTTTTATTTCATCTAGTATATTATTATTTTTAAAGATCTTTATTGACATCACATATGAATTTCTCTTAAAACTTTCGGTTCTAATAAATAGCAAATATAATTTATTATGAAATCTATAATATATAAAGCTTAATTTCTTGTGTTAAAATTACAAATATCTTCTTTTTACATACAGTTCTAAGTCAAACAAACACCATTTTTAAAAACAGAGTAGCGTCATCTAGTGAAAACAGCTTTTTGTAGCTTTTTATTATTTCGCCAGATAAACAATTCCCCATTCAATTATATTATTGAAAATACCGCAAAATTAAAAACAAATAGCTTCTTTGTTTCATAAAAATTTGAAAAAAATAAAGACTACAAACAACAAAATCCAAAATCTCGCTTTAAAAGTACAGTAACGTATTCTAGTCCTTAGTAGAAACAGCAAAATATAACATTTTCGTTTACTTAGCCAATAAAATATATGCATTTAATAATAGCGACAAAGATTCTATTAATTAACATTGTTCAAAGCATTATTCAATCCTACGTAATTTTTTGGAAAAGGATGACATGGAAAAATCAAAATAACAAATTGAACTGTAAACAACGGTTACTAGATAACGATATAACGCCCTATACGAACTTGTACTCTCTTTTTCATCTCTTTATGTGATTTTATTCGGGAAACGATTAAAGATAGACATATGCTGCCGCGGACTTTTTGTTAGAACTTTTAAAGAGGATCAATTTCGTACTATATGATTTTTGCGTAACTTTCACCGTTCACGCAGCGCACGCAAGGAAAACTTTAAAAAAGTAAAATATTCTCCATTTTTGTAACATTTATCAATAGGTAGTCGCCTGTACTGCATTTAGTGAAATTTTCAAAATGATGATGTCAATACTAAGAAATATTTAAAAAATACACTAAATGGCGGTTACGATGTTCTGATAGGGCTCGATATATTGCTTTTTATAAGTAGGATAAATTTTACGGTGTTTTAAACAATGCAATACAAATTGCTTTTATTCTTCGTCAACTGTGAATCGATGAGGGAACAACGACTTGTTTGTGGTTGGTATGGATTTAATTTTTTTTTCTTGTTAATACAACAATCCATTTAATTGTTATTTTAAACATATGAATTGCTTTTTGTTGAACTGAAACGCTTTTTTTAACAAGTCATCAAGATCGAATGAAAAAGTCGATGATGATGATTTTCATCTTACTTTCATGACTCACCCATCATCAAATACGGGAATGATAGACACTTCGTCGATTAAATACCATAAAAGCTGAATATTTTTTTCAGAATATACTGCTTTTAATAGTTATTTAAGATACGAGTGCGGAATGTAAGGTTTTACGAATGCGGGACAAATTGAAAACACGAGCGTAGCGAAGGTTTTCATTGGCTCGAATTCGAAAAACCTTTTACGCTCAAGTTTCTTACAACATTTTTCAATGATTTTTGCGAGGAAATAAAACAAATATATAGGTTAATAAAACTTAGTATGTATTAAAGGTAAAAATTATTTGTTAAAATTATACATTTGCAGTCGTTAATACCCTCCAATCCGCATTGGGCCAGCGTGGAGGGTCATGGCCCATCCTCCTTAACCATATCCATAAGGAAGGCCTGAGCACCTGCAGTGGGGACGTAAAAGGGCTGATGATGATGATTTGAACATGTTTTCGTCTCATACATTTTTATTTGAAAATATTCGTTCTAGGCTCCTTGAAATACTTTTGCCTCTACAGTTTGACATATTCTCATCATTTTTTTTTTTTAATTTCTTTAGTGCTCGGCCAAAAAAAAATAAAAAAATACTTTTAAGCATGTGTGCAGTAAAGTTTTTCTGTACATTTTTATTTAACACGTGTGTAAAGACTCACTTTCGGTGTTTACAATGGATTAAAAAAATAGCGCTTTATGAACAACTGCATTGAAAAATAATTTTATCCATTTTTTCGCAAGATTTCATGATTTTGAAAAAACACATCTTCGTATGGCTGCCGAAATGCACTGAATCCATAGCTTGACATAGGATGAAACGATGAATAGACAGACATCCAACAGAGTTTTCTTGTCTTTGTTAGTAATTTCAAACTGCTCGATCTTTTTTAAATTTTCCTTCAATAAAATATATCTGAGAACTCTAACTCGCAATAGCCTTCTCTAACTAGGTAAGGTCATGCTGAAAGCGATAAATTAAAAGCAGGTGCTTGATTTCATCACTTCGATGGTCCGGTCGACCAGGCTCTCTGACGCAGCAAGAAGATCTTATCTTTATCTATTTTTTTCGTAGTCAACGCATCGGCATATGCAATATTAAACAGATTATCCAAACACATTTTGTGTTTTTTTTTTGCATTTCATTTGTAAATCTCCGGTCTTGATAAATAATTTTAAAATTTTTACACAGATTGGCAGTGATTTAGTAGGTATGATTGTCAAAAAAATTAAAACACTCACTTATAATAATATTTTCACGTCCATTTCCTTTTAAATTTACTTCGCGGATATTAGAAAACAATACTTCTAAAATTTATCTGCTTTAATCCGGTATTAAGAAAAGATCCCATATTGCGATCTCCTAATGTAAGGTAATCCTAAAGTGGAAACAGAAAAATGTCTCTTGCCAAATTAAATGTACATAAAGTGGCATCACCACATGAACACGTGTTCCCCCTTTAGTTATATATAAACTCGGATTTTTAAATTAATTATGTACAGAATAACAATATTATGACTGTAGAAGTACTATCCATAGAATCTAAAGTCCTGACAATTAAAACTTTACAGGCATGACCTATTATTTGAACAAGCATACTAAAAAATCGCAGTGGGAAAAGCCAGAAGGACCTGCACCGCTAGTTGATGAAGATGAAGATGACAGTAGTGCCCCGAAGCAAGTGCAATGCAGTCACATTCTGGTAAAGCATGCTGGTAGCCGGCGTCCGTCATCATGGCGTGAAGAAGTAATAACGCGCAGCAAAGAAGAAGCACTGGATATTCTGAAAGGTAAATCTTTTACATCATTACTAATAAATAACACATATAAAAATGAATCGCCGATTTTTATCGTCAGGACAAGGTTTATATAAGAAAATTTAAGAGAAATAAAATATGGTAGTACGGAGTCCGTCCGGTCAGCTAGTAAATAATAAATATTACACATCAGTGGCCTAATTGTCTAAAAAAATCTTTCACAAATCACTTTGAATTTGTCATTTGAAAGACATTCGCGAACTTCACGCTACAACTATTTGATTTCATTTCATTCTATTATTTTATTTATATGAATAAAATATTTTTATTCTTTAGTCGAAATAGTAGAATATATTACAATCATACGAAATCGTAAAAAATTGTTTCACAACTTAACAACAACAAAACGAAATGAATTATCTATGACTCTATATCATTCAAATCATAAATCACCACCACTACCGCTATACGTTTGAAGAGGATTGTGATATATAGAAAAATTAGACAATTAGGCCACTGCTTTGGGTGCCATCGTCCTACTTATCCGTTGGTTTGAGGATATACGCCGTAGTGTGGATGTTAGTTGATGCCATATTTTGCGATTCGTTTTTGAAAAAGTTCCGCTTCGTTCAGGTTGGTGTCCCGAATCTTCAGTCTAATTAACACTTCACATATAGTTTCATTGCAGATTTCTATGAACGACTACGCTTCTGGCCGTTTAGGGCGTCGATCGATCATCGTTACGCAATATTTTCTTTCTTCCAATATAAGTGCCGCAAAATGCTTGTACAGCGTTGTGTCTAAATAACACCCTCGTGATGTCATATGAAAATAGAAAGTTTTGGTGTATCAATGATTTAAATATTATGGATAATTTCCATAATATAACTATTATGTAGGTGTCGGTTTAATCGTTTAGGCTCTGGTAACCGTGTAAATAATGCGATTTTTGCATTAAAAAAATATGTACCTACCCTCAATAATCCGAAAAGGTTTAACTTAGTCATTGATGGTGCAGATATGATATTGCAATCACAGTCTAGGCTTATTTAATTTTATTTGACAATTTACATAGTTCTATGTTATTTATATGGAATAAGTACTTACCTATAGAACCTATAATTAATTCGCGTTTTGGTGTTAGACTAGACGAACACAAAAATTTTATATAGATAAAACTTTCCCAAAACAGCCAAGTAGCCAATTACCACTAAAAAATAAACCAGTTTTCGATCCATTAAATATAATTTACAATACATATTTCGTTTTATTGCAGATTATCGCGAAAAAATTGTTAACAAAGAAGCTACTTTTGAAGAACTGGCCAGTTTATATTCTGATTGCTCGTCCGCTAAACGTGATGGAGATCTCGGATTCTTCAAGAGGGGTCAGATGCAGAAGCCTTTTGAAGATGTAGCGTTCAGTATGAAGGTAGGCCAGCTCAGCCAACCAGTAGAAACTCAGTCAGGCGTTCATATCATACTCAGAACAGCTTAAAAGGCATAATATATCCCATAATGACTTAGAAATATACGATATAATTTTTTCGAAATGTACTTATATTACATAATACGATAATAACAGAAAATGTTTAAAGAATACTGAAAGAAAATTGTTTTGTATAGAGATGGACTATGCATTTCGGACGATTGAATAACCTTTAAGTAATAGCCCTGTGTTAGGCAATTTATCACTCACTCAACTCCAATTTTATGGCTCAAGACAACCTATTTGTACTACACGTACGAATTAACATGATACCTGACGTCCTATTCTATTTCTCCGAAAACGAAATTTCATCAATTTTCGAAATGCTAAATATAACTCCAAATAAAACACAATTTCCGAGAATTTATAATGGAATAAAGGTAGGACCTGGCACTTACTCTGATGCACAGATAATCTTCACAGATATGGTTTTATCAAAATTATAATGGTTTGTAATTTTCCGAATTTTCGTTAGAGGACAAATAGTATAAGGTATCAGGTATCAGGTACGGATGTTCGTACGAGTACTATTACACGCGGAAGGGCTACATAAACACAATCTGGAGTATTACCAACTTACCAACACATAGCACCACCGGGACTCGAAACTTGTGTAGTACTAGCGACATCTGGTTTGACTTTGTGAACTACTTTTTTAAACGCTTCCTTATAAAAGTATAATACTGAATTTACTGATTTAGATATTGCATTGCATTCAATAAGAAAATTGAGTAAAAGACTGAAAGTCCTAACTCTAATAATATTTTTTGATATTGAAATATTTTGTTATACTTTTTTTTATTACATATCTTTGTACATATGGGTTACATATGTTTCTTCAATTTAATGTTTTTAATTAATTTATGAATAGTTATTATAATTTAAAATAAGTGCATAAATGTATCACAAACGAATAATGTTTTATTACTGAAATACTTGGAACCTCTATATACTTGCTTTTTTTTATAATTACATTGTCTGGTATTATGAATTCTATCTCGAAAATAAATGTAATGTCTAAATAATGGTTCCATATTGTTTATGTCCCTAATAAATTAAAATACACGAAATTTTCTTCTTTCATTTGTAATATAATAATCTTATCTTTGGTTATAACTTATCTTCTATGTACCTATACAGTTTGATCAGGAATACCTTCATAATTCCAAATAAGGCATATAGGGAATCATGTACAACTCAGAAAAAAATATCATTTAGACTGAAACCCAGCACATGCCCTAGATATATAGCTTTTTCATCTAAGTAAAACTGTGTCCTAATTATAGAAGAAAAGCTGTTGTATTGTATAAGGGCACCGACTCCAGGTTAGGTTACTCCAGAGAGCTAGTTAAAAAAAAATTGCTTATACTAAAATGCATATTTAGTAGAGCGAGAGTAATTTATTTATATTTAAACAAACAAAAAGTTGTAGTTAATGACTTAACAGCAATCTGTGATTAGCTGTTTTAAAAACTTTTCTAAAAGTCCAATATTTATTATATATATCTGACCACCATTAATATGTGTGGACACGACTAGACTGATCGGTGTCTGAACTATATTTGGAGGAAAGTTTCTTTGATTGTTGTTACCATACAACATATAATACAATTTCATCCAGATTGTGAAAGGTTATGAGTTCTGATCTCATCTCAACCATTGGTGATTTTTAAACATTTTTCTTTACGATAATTTAACCATCTTAAAAAAAAAGATATTAAAAGATATACGCTGTTGGGAATTAATCCCAAATAATTACTATCAAATTTCGTATTTTGGATAAATACAATAAAAAATAATATATAGGCGTACCGTAGTAAAATCCAATTATCTGTTTATAGTCCTTAGGCTAATGCGGACTTTTTTAAAAATGCAATTCTCTAGTTTAGTCCAGGCATTACCACGAAGTAAGGGACATTCCAATAAACACCTTAATATTATAGACTTGAAATAAAATCAAGTAATTCACATATCAATGTATAATAAACGCTTAAAACGACGAGGAGTAAATGATAGATTTGCTCCTATATTTTAAAAATTAAACAGATATTCTAGTTACAAATTTAATATCGCTTACTTATACAGACTATTATTATTTATATGATTTATAAAATGAAGGTTTATAACAAACAACAATATTTTTAAATATATACTCATACAGTACTTCAAGATTAATAGGCATCCGAAAACATTGCAAATAATCATCTGACAATACAGAGAAAATTAATAAAAATTAGTTTGGCCGTAAAATAATTCACAATTTCAACTTTATTGCAATTACGTGATTATTAAGAAAAGCAAATTAGTTGTAAGATTTGCGGGTGGTGCACCGTTGACAGTTGCAGATATACCTATATATAATATTGAAAGTAGGAAGGACGTGCGTAAACGTTTTCTACAACTATATCGAGATGATATAACCCTGCAACGTGTTTTGTTTTAACGTTATATTTTTAAATACAGTACTTCAAGATATATAATAGGCATCAGAAAACATTGAAAACAATCGTATGACATATCAAAGAAAATCAACAAAAATAGTTTGGCCCTAAAAATTAATATAGTCTCCTTTTAAAAAATTTGTTGGAAACGTCTCGAGTGGCGCGCCGTTGTCATTAATTGATCAGTATTGAAAGCAGGAAGGTCGTGTGCAAACTTTTTTTAGTATTAATGAACTGATATATAACCCCGCATAGTTTTTAAGTATTTCATTTTCTATAGATATGTTACAGCCAAAGTAATAAATCGTGTTATTATGTATAAAACTAGATATATAAAAAAGGTGAGTTTATCAATTTGCCTTGCTTGTACATATATATAATATCTAATAGAATTTGAATAAAGTAATAAATAGGTGTAAAAATATTAACATATTCAGCAAATCATAATTGAAAATATTAATGCATAATAGGGCGTTACTGATATGATAGAATAGATGATGTACAATCACAATTAATTTAACCGAGGCCAGTTGGACAAAAATTGCTAGGTTAGAACTGTAACCACAACGACGAATTCTACCTCTTGAATTTGGCCAGGAGGTAGTATGTATATCTTTCGTTATATAATAATCAATTGTTGTTCGTTTGTCTAGTTAAAACTCGAGAATTTTTATTCATTATTCCGATCCGATTTGAAATGTTTGTCGTAGCCTAAGGTTTGAATGGTGCGAAATTATGGAAGACCGAAAAACCGCGAGGAAGATAGTAAAAATATTTTTATTATAAATCTGAACTCAGTGTAGTTATTTCTCTGTTTTATTGCGTATTTATTACTTTCACCAATTCCAAATAGTTATTATGAATAATACCTTGTATCACATTAGCCACATTGTTAAATTATTATTCATAATATCAAGCGATTATAGAGGTACATAAACTGTGTAACAGCTCTAAATCATTATACCTATTGCCTAGATGTGTCGGCCATCATCGAAAACACGAAATTAGCCGATGCCCATTATTTATCTCGTAGAACTGTATAAATATTTTATTAAATAATATGAACGAATTTGTAACCGCTAATTTTACTATTGTACTTTGGCCGCTTAGAGAATGTGTTTCTGACGTCTGTCAAATACTCAAAATTAGTAATTGATAAAAAATAAAATTTATATTACTTTTAACCAATCCGATACAATTAAATACTTATCGGTACGAACAAATACCGAAACATACAAAAACTTCACTAATTATGGAGTGAAGTCTTGTATGTTTGGCAGTGTGATTTTGAGATTGCCATGTGGAATGTTGTACATAAAATATACCCAAATCCAGACATAAAAGGTTACTTTTACCATTAGAATCTAAATATGTGACGTATGGCAAAAAAGCACGAACACAAGCTCAACAATGAAAAATTGTTTTAATGGTCTTTCCACGCAATAAAAACAAAATATTTTCTATGCGCATATATAAAAATGTTCTTTTGAAACTATTTTTAAATGTATAAAAAAAGACTTCAAGAAATCCCTTGGCATTTCTCTTATTTCTTTGTATTAAAAGCTAAAACATGGGATCGAAGGAACTTCCTTCATGAAACGAACTACTAATAGACAAGCTACTCTGTTCAGAACTAAAATTGTGTCACAGTTAAGCAGTATTGCCAGACGAAATTTAAAAAATTAATTGAAGTCTTGCAATAAATCAGGAGATTGGTTAAGTTTGTATATTTTTGTAACTAATAAAATAATACCTTAAAACTAAGTTTATATAAACATAATAGTTATAAGATAAATAAAAATATCTAATGCAAATCAGTCATCAGACTATCCAACAGAAACGAAGAGATATAATTTCATTTAGCTTTATTTAGTTACTAGTGGACGCCCGCGACTTCGTCCGCGTGGAAGTCGGTATCCCGTGGGAGTGAGAAGTTTTCCCAGTAAAAAGTACCCTATGTGTTATTCTGATGTATAACCTATATTGCTGTAAAGTTTTATCCAAATCCGTCCAGTAGTTTTTTCGTGAAAGAGTAACAAACATCCATACATCCATACTTACAAACTTTCGCCTTTATAATATTAATAGGATAATTACATTTCGCTTTATTTCTGGGACATATTTATTTATATTTCATGAAAATCTAGCTATAATTATTTGATCTATCAATACATAATTTTTAGGTCTTGGCTGGGCGCCTGTTGATGCAGAAAATGTTATTGTATCGGAAAAAAGAAATAATATAGAACTAAATTATCCCCATAAACAAAAATTATATTACGACTTTTTATATTTTATATGTATAAAATGAATCGCCAAAATGTATGTACACGCATAACTTACAAACGACTGCACCAAATTGAATGATTCTTTTTTCATGTGTTCCTTAAAGTCAGTACAAAAAAAAATAGAATAGAAAATTATTAAAAAGATATGATTCATTAAAACGGATATGTGACGGTATGAAGTTCGCCGGGTCAGCTAGTAAAAAATATTTACACATAGAATACTTTGTGTCTATCAGATGAAATCTCAATAGGGCACGCTCTCGTAATTCAGATACCACCTGAACCTATATAACTTCGTTTTTTCTGTTTACTTCTTAATAAAATGTCGCACAATAATTTTTATTTCGTTGCAATACATTGTCATTATAACATAATTTTTATTGATTATGTAATTTTACTATAATGATAAAAAATTGTCGTCTAATTCTAGCAACCAAATAGTTATAAAATGTTCAATACCCGTTTAATTGTGTAAATGTAATATTTGTTGACATTACCATCGGATCAGTTAAAAAGATTGAAAGAAAAGTAGTTGATCTGTTTCAATAGAGTTAGTGACAGCATTTTATATAAAACTTTTATTATAGTGAAGATATTCATTATTCCTGAATATTTTATTTAAAATATTTTTGCAAAATAAAATCACAACGTTGAGCTGCATGTCAGTTGTCAGTGTGATTGTCAAAAGCCATCTGAGTCTACATCATAATATATTTACAATTATAAATAAAATGGATTAGGAGCTCAGGAATGTCTTAAAAACTGTGAATTATTATTTATTTTTATAAAAATTTCCTTTACTCCGCATGATCATTATATTGCTCCTAAACTAAGATACAAAGAATTGACGTCATAATTTATGGACATTACTGCATAGTTGTTTTGACGGCGAATTTAAATTGAAAATTGAAAAATAAAAAAGACCTTATCTTATATAATGTGCGGATTGTTTTTATATTGCCATCATTAAATTGTAAATAACCTCATTGGTAGGGGTGGAAAAACAGGTTGCAACGCATTATGCCCCTGTAGTTTGCACTGTAAAATAGTTTTTCCTAATGCTTTGTATTTTACACTTTATATAAAACTATACATTTTAAACGTACGTTTGTTCGTCCGGAATTGGTAGGTCTACTCAGCGCAGACGAAAATTCTCTTTGCGTCATATTAATTAGTACTTACCATAGAGTGTAGTTGGTGACTCCGCGGAAACTGAATTTGCGGTTTTAAATATAATTAATCGTGACTCATCTTTTTTTAATTCTGAAATCTATGTAGAATCTGATATCGTAGCAAGATTTGATATCACTAATTTGAAAAATAATTGAAGAACGATAATAACGGATGAATCAAAACGGAATTTCGGTTTCTGCGGAATCAGCGTATTATGTGAGGATAGCAAAATGGTTAAAACATAAAAATATATTCTGACAACGGTGTAGTTTGTAAAGTTAGGACATGTAGAAAGAGAAATGTGGCTCTACATAAGATCTGAAAACTTTGACGGTGGAGCCATATGTCATCATGGCCACATTTAAATGAAAATGTTTTTAGAGAAAAATATTTTTATAAATATTGATTGCTCAATTATTTTACAATATATTCAGAAGAATATTATTAGGTGCACAGTTAGTTCACATAATTATACCGTTTTAATTTTCACTATTCATAAGTACGACAAAAAAAGTACAATAGTATTTTTACGTTGTCAAATTTAAATCGACCTGTCAGAAGCGCATTCTCTCTGCAGACTGCAAGGAAATAAACGAATCATAAAAACGTCTTATTGATTATATTTAAAATAATGACTTGCTTCCATTGTCAGCCGAAAGCTCCAAATCAAGTAAGTATTAAAATATTGTTAAACGCTGCTATTAATTAAGAACTTTTTTAACATCAAATTCCTACATTATGAACATACTACAGAAGTTATACATTGAAAAAGATAGCTACTCATTTCATTATATTAATAAACAATTATTTGACTAATAAAGTAATTTTATGGCTATTTAATTTATTTCTTGTTTTGATAGAATATCCAGAAATGGTGTAAATACTAGAGTACCATTTTCACTAAATGCTACACATTGAGCAATAAAATGTACTAAATGGAAACAAAATCTGTCAATTTAGCACATAAGTAAAAGAAGCCTGGTAATATAGGCCAAGCGGATGAAATAGCAGATATATTATATATCACCGAATCGTTAACTTAAATATTCAAACGCCGTTTTCTTTGTTGTCGTTGTCCGACTCGTCTTGCCTATTTGATCTGAAACTAAACATATGGATTAAAATAAATATGTTCAGAAAATCGTCAGTCCTGTGAGGTCCTAGGTAACTCAGTGGTTAGAGCAGTCCCCCGAATTGCGAAAGGTCATGGTTTCGAGTTCCATTTGAGAAGACCAGGGACAAAGTGGATTTTCCATCAAGAATATTTTTCAGTATAGCTTTACAAAACTAATCAAATATAATGATGTTTAATCCTTTTTTGAATCTGAGGCCGAATTCCTTATAGCCATTGCTTTCTTACCTGGGTGCATTAAGGAATCGTGCGGCTGATGCGTAACGATGTGGATCAAAGTCTTCGGAGTTGTTAGCCCGAGTGCGCGCCATATGACGCAAGCGTTCGCGGAAAGCGAGACGGATTGCGCTATTACTCTCGACTCTCTCCATCGGCAATACGCGCGAATCATCGCGCGATGACGCCTCGCGCACGCTCTCTACAAATGGAATAAAGAATCATGTCCACTTTCCATACATTGATCGACCAGTCACATGATTTTTAAGATAGCGTCTACCCACAAAGAATTGTTTAAAGTAGAATAATATCTTAAGTTGTAAATAATGTTTTAAGGTTATAACTGCTGTCAATACTCGAGATTGTTGTGAAGCTACAATACTCTTAATATTTTGACTCGTATATATGGAAATAAATCAAAAATTTAATTGCCAACTTTTTAACCTTATGACGAAAAAGTATTTTTCCGTAGTAGATATTTAGTAGGTAGACGTAGCAAACCCTTTTTACTTTTAAAAAAAAACACAGGTCTGTGAAATTATTTTTTCATAAACTGTTCGTATTCATTATAATTACGTTACAAATAATATAAAATAGCATTAATTTGGTATATATCACGTCACTCCTCTAGATTTACATGGTATATACAAGTAAATAAGTTCTAATACATATTGGCAAACTTATTTTAAACTTCTTTTTGAAGAATCTTTAAAAAGACGCCACTCTTCTGCTTTGTATTCGATGTCAAATTTTTATATTAAACCTCTAATATCACAGCAAAATATCAAACTATCTTCTTTCTTGAAATATTGTAAAAAATCTTGTTCTCTTTTTAGATACCAATAAAATGTAGTCTCCGCATCCAATAAATTGTTCAGCGTGAACCGAGTAATTCTGCAGCATCTTTGGGTAATCCAAGATCCCGTAACAAAACATTAAGTTCTTGCTGTCTGAATGGTCGAGGATCATTTGTAGGGTTAAAAATCTCTCCATTGCTAGGAAGATCACTATGTTCTCAATTCTGTGATATGGGTATATCGAAACTCTTTTTGTTAGAAGGAATTGGTATAGGTAGTTTGGGTCCATGAGTAATTGGTTTTCACACGTAATCGCACTAGGCTGATCTGATTTTACAGTATATGATCGTAAACGGTTCATTCAGTTTAGACGAAACTACCTTAAAATTATTAGATGGACTAACTCAAAATAAAACCATCTTATCATTTTCCCAAAGTGCACTGAAAATGAAGTTACATCAAAGTCCTGCAACCCGACGACATTTCAATATGGACAACAAAAAAATTTTGATCACCTCGGTACTAGCCGACTAGAAGTTTAGGAATTAACTTTCAACATTGCCGCCGGCCTAGGGTTGCTATCTGTATGGATTTAGCAGTACATGTTTGGCTTTTTGTAAAAACAAAAGGGGAAACGTGTCATTAAAATAGATAGGCAGAGAAGATGGCGTAATACGAATTAAAAACTATTTTAATTAATCACAAACCGTTACGACTCCGATTATTGAAAAAGTACTCCGTAAAGTCGTCATCTATTTATTACGTAAGGCGATTTTCGCAAATTTATGTCATTCGTCAAGGGTAGAATAGGCAGAATAGGCCGACCCCCTCCACCTGTTTAAGTATTACATAACAATCTAAAGGAACAACAAGGTGCTACAGGTATATCGAGATGCTAAGGTGCCAAATACAAAAATGCCACTGTGTTCGATCCAATCATAGAACCTACGTTTAGAAACATACATCAAAAGTTATGTTACAAATGCTAAAGTTTGTGAGGATTTTTATGAAATTTAGTATATACTATGAAATGATGTGCGCGTTGATGTGTTAATAAAATTTTACTGAAAGTAGAATACTAGCTGAACAGCGTCGGTTACCATTTTGCCAATGATTTATTCCTAATTCTTTTCGACCATAGTTGGTTATCTACTGTGCAACTGTAACATGTTTGTATAGGCATATTTTCTCTCACGCTCTCAGTGTGTGTATGTGTGTACTAGGAGAATAGAACAAAATTGTAAAAAACGTGGGAGGTAGGTAGTGGGCCACTACTCCTGGTACCTTAAAATAGTGATGTGAAATAACATACTCGATATTTTTATTAATTTTAAAAAACAATTATTTTTGAACTTAATGCAAAGTTTTGAAAAAATTTAAGAGGACAGTTTATATTTCAACACCCTTCAGCTATTACGGGTATTTTTATAACACGCGGTATAGAACATTATTAGAATATTAATCTTCTTATTATTTTGAAAAGTTTATATTAACAGTTGAGTTGTGTATATTACCGTTCATGAGTCCATCGAGGGTCGCCGACGGACGAGACTGTCGCACGCATCGTCGCTTCCTGGACGGCATCCCTGAGAGATAAGCATCGCTGTAGGGCTCCGACGGCTCCGGCTGTTGTGCCTGTTGGTCGCGTGTAAACACTGGTACCCATTCCTCGCCCCAATGCTGTAGAATCACCATCGGCGGTACCTGTCGGTTATGAGCGAATAAAGAGCGTGTCGCTATTGTTCTTGAACAATTAACTGCCGACGAATAAGGCTAGAAGATTGAGGCATGAGTTTTCGAGTGACGAGAAAATATTGTGTCGTTCAAATAGTTTTTTCGCCGAACTAATAATTCATACCATCTACGAGGGTCAAACTGAAAGTTCTTAGAACTGGCCACTTATAAACAATATAATAAAAAAATAATTCTAAAATTTGAAAATATAACTCTTTGCCAATATTACTGAGTATATATTTCATTCATTTGTCATTTGTTTTACGATTTGGCGGCAAATTGAAAATTGTCTGTGTCACGTCATCATGAATTTAACACGAGAAAATTTTCGTGCAATGATTTTTTATGACTTTCGATGTCATTTAAGTCAACAAGAAAGTTATGATAGACTACGATTGGCCTTTCACGATGAAGCCCCATCTCGTGCGACTGTTTACAACTGGTTTAATGAGTTTAAACGTGGTCGCACTAATCTCACTGATGATTTACGTGAGGGACGGCCTTCTACGGCGACGACTGAAGATAACATCTGTGTTGTGCGGCGTATGATAGAGACTGACAAAAGAGTGACCTATCAACAGATTCGGACAAGCTTAGGCATCGGTATGAGTCAAGTGCACAAAATCCTCCACGAACATTTAGCGGTCAGGAAGCTTTGCGCCCGGTGGACACCTCATAATTTGACTGAGGCTCAAAAACTCCATCGTGTGGATTGGTGTCGTAAAATGATTGAAAGATTTAACGGAGGTGACTCAAATGCTGTGTTCGACATACTAACAGGTGACGAAAGCTGGATTTACTGTTATGATCCTAAAACCAAAAGACAATCTGCTCAGTGGGTGTTTCCTTTCGAGGAGTTGCCAACTAAAGTGAAGAGAGATCGAAGTGCGGGAAAAAAAATGGTGGCCTCGTTCTTTGGAAGGATAGGTCATTTTGCAACAATTGTGTTAGAGGATCAAAAAACAGTTTCTGCAGAATGGTACACTACCAATTGTTTGCCACTTGTCTTGGAAAAAGTTCGAGAGAAACGACCTCGCAGTAGGATCCTCCTTCACCACGACAACGCCTCGTCGCACACCGCCAAGCGAACGATCGACTATTTGGCGACATCAAACGTTGAATTACTGGGTCACCCGCCGTATAGCCCCGACCTCGCGCCTTGTGATTTTTATTTATTTCCAAAAATTAAAGAAAAACTTAAAGGAAAGCGGTTTATGAATGCTGAAGAAGCGGTGGCTGCGTATCGCGATGCCATTGAAGAGACCCCTAAGGACGAGTGGGCAAAGTGCTTTTCCCAGTGGTTCCATCGCATGCAGCGGTGTATTGACGTGAATGGACAATATTTTGAAAAGATATAATAAAACTAATAACTGGCTAATGTAATCAGTTTTTGATTTCCTAAGAACTTTCAGTTTGACCCTCGTATATTTAAATGGGGTCATTTATAAGACTAAAGGTGACATCATAACCTCATCGACAAGCTAGGTTTTTATAAAATTTACTCAATGTATTGCCCTAATTTATTGATTAGGCAAAAAAATACGTGTTTTATATTCTTTAATAACTTGTTACTTGACGGACAGGCAATTAAAAATTAGTCACCATCCCTATTATGAATAATTTTCCAAAAGTAAATATTGAATTTCCCAGATATAAAATTACAAATTAAATCTAAACAATTAATATTTGATCCGCCGAATTACTGAACCCAGTTTGTCGTACGACAGATCAAGACACAATCCAGGACATTTCGAATATATATAACAAACTAAATTTACTGGAAAAACAACAAATATGATCACCAAAAATTTATACTTACAATGCGGATATTTTGATCGGAACTAGTGCTTTGAGGAGATGTTGCAGTGCTGGTTCTCTGAGCTTTATTAACCCTGTATAAAACATATATTTAATATGCTGACAAATTTGAAAGATATTTTACTCAATATGAGAATTGATTCAAAAATATGTGTAACATTACGTGATTGTCTTATAACTAAATAAATGTTATAAAAGGTGCTTGAAACTTTAGGAAACTAATATCAGTCCGTATGATGACAACACCAACTGACGTCATAACTACAGAGCAACATGGCGTCTAGTTTTGTCGTCAAATTCGTGCGAAAGGACAGTACATATTGAAAACATTGTTTTTTAAACGGTACTTTAAATTTCTGTACATTCCTTTCAAAATGTAAAAATTTAGATGTATTAATAAACTTTTTGGTTTTATTTTTGTGGTTCATTAGGGTAGAATTGATATTATTTTCAAAAATAGATATTTACCGTATTACCACAAAATAATGGTTTGACTTGTATTGTAGTTAAATTAAACCACCATAAATAAATAAATCACCAGCCTATGAATATCCCCAGAAGCACAGGACTCCTTCAGAGGAAGAAAATAGAGAATGGGCCAAGAGCTAACGGGCCCAGTACGAATATGGGTGTAAGACTACAGAGGTATCCAACCAGGATCAACGGTATAACCTGGACGAAGATCATGGAAGATGATCCATCCGATAACCTATCTTTGAGACGGTTGCTTAACCACCGCAATCAGAGACCGACCGCACTCCTCATTACCGTCAGGAAATAGTATCAGTTAAGGTGACAGTGTTTATAATGACAGTCATAATTGTAACAGACCTTGGACAAGGTACGATCGGCGAGTCCACGGAAATCGGATTAGTACTGCTGGCGACTGTTGGAGACTGCATGGCCAATGAGTTGAGATCGGGTTCAGCGACCGTCGGGATTGTTATCCCCGTCGATGACGTCACTTCGCTCGTGACCGTCGACGTGGGCGGCAGCGTAATCTCCATAGGTTCGTCTTGCGTATCCAAAGACGGATTGACTACTTCCTCCATTGGTTCAGGGCGCGGCAGCTTTAACGAATACAATACAAATAATAAACAAAACCTGTGATCGTATTTCTTGACCATGAATATGAAAGGAAATATAAAGAGAGGAAGACAAGAAAAATGGATTTGCGAGTCTTATCGTATCGAAGGATCGAAGTCTAATCTAATCATATCTCTGACATGCTATGACAATACATTGTCAAAAACTTAATCATTAATTCAATATTATAATGTGCAGTATATCTTATGTTTTTTATTCTTAATGAAAAATGATTATAAATCTACTTTGTCCCTGGCACTCTGAGATGGGACTCGAACCCATGAACTTTCGCAATCCTGGCGACTGCTCTAACCACTGAGCTACCCAGGACTCAGGACTGATGAATCTTTCAAACACTTATTACTTTTTCGTTACTACAGAGCGTATTTTCATAAATTTTTCAGCTTAAAAGATCAGCCAAAAAAAAGAATCGGACAAACAACAAAAATGTAGTCGTCATCCCTATTATATATGTGCCGGAGTAAATTTTCACACCACCACAACCTACAGTTCTGACTTAGAACCTGTTTAAGACATTTCAAGGTTATAAATCTGATTGTGATTCTTTCAAGAGCATGTCTGCCATTATTTGATTTTTAAATTGTTTCAATAAATTGAACGAAAATAGATAGAAGAGTTATCAAAATAAAAGACAAAGAGGCGTTAAATCGGGGTTCCGGAGAAGTAATCTTTAGCAGCTATCTTATGTAAAAAGCCTATTTGGGCTATGCAACGAAGACTTCAAGTCATGACAATAACTAAATATTTATTTTTGTTGAAAATCATAATCTTTTGATGCTACTTTTCTTCGTCTCATTACATCCCGGTCGACATAAAAATACACAATATATTTTATGAGCAATAAAAATACTTATGACGAAATAATTATAAATAATCTCATTATTTTTCTCTTTTTAAACTACTGGGGTACACGCCTTATTACATAGAATAGGAAGATTGGGCCATTATCCATCATGCGGATTGACAGATGTTAACTACTGGAATTGCATCCAGGATCAACTGCTTACCGTGCTTTCTGAAGCACGAAGGAGATAATAATTTTTTGGTCATCCACCCTCATTCCTAAATGAATGAAATCCTGAACTTATAATCAGGAGCTTTGGCAACTAAATTTCGTATACTAAATTTTACACTGTATATCGAATCCATTATATACGATAGTCTAATAACATCGAATGCCCCCGTTTACAAAAAAAATATATATATCGAAACGTAACATATAATATTATTATTCAAAACATACATCAGGCATGACTCCGTCTCTTCGACGCACAAATTGTGCGATCGATTCATGGTGATTGGTAAGGTTGCCCAAGATGCCCATCATATTGTCCAATCCAAAGACACGCATCGACGAACGAATAGGTTCGTCAAATTGCTCCACTAACTGATCCTGTTAAAAGAAAATGATAAAATTATACTGTTAATCGAACTTAATCTTTTCTACAGTGGATGCCAATTAGTATAGCAGTGAGCTCAGTAGTAAAGTTTGCCTTTTGAGAGAAAATAACCAATCGCTGTCAAACAACAAGCAAAATGCATTTTATGCTATAGAATATTCGCAACCAACAAAATTACAGAATACCGACGCTCATTTTCTTGTTAGGGTATTCTACTCAGTTCGAAATAATACTTAGTTAAAATAAATTAATTAAACGAATGGACCAAAGAATCAACTAATATATAAAAAAAAAACTGAAATTTGCAAAGTTCGAAACTTAGATATCAATACAAATAAGAAAAAGTACAAATAGAATATGAGTTGTTTATTGAGTTTTGAAATTAATTTACACGTGTTATACGTGTTTATACGTGTAAGAAAACCGGAAAGGTTGTCATGGAGAAATCAAGAAAGTACCATAGCGACATCTAGTTTAATATCGAGAACTAAGGTTTTTTTTAATACTTCGTCATTAAGTATATCTCTATGACCAATCTGCCAGTTGTCGCCGCAGTGACATCACACAATGGCAGGACGTGTTTCAAATCACGTGACACACAGATAAAGGAGATACTAATAAAACACACAGATAAAAAATCACGACTTTTGAGATAATAGGATTTTAAGACTCAAAATTGGAATCACTATGTTTCTAACGATGTAAATTTCAGTTTTTGTGCAATTTCATAACTTACTTTTCACTAACAAAATTGCGTTACTGTCATTTAGCCACTGGGGTGTGTAACTCACCAAGAATGCCATATGAAGTAGTCGAAATCCTTGCACTCCATCCGTACACATGTGGCATACCAGCGCACATAGCTCCGTGTAAATGCGCAAGAACATCGCGTAGAAACGCACCACGAACAATTCATTATTCGAGCCGGACATAACACAAGCGATCACTGCCGGCAATCTCGACCGGACCAATGCACGGATAGACTCCACAGGGTCGATATCGTCACGGATACCAGTTATGTTTGCCTGGGAAAAGATCACGATTTATTTCAATGTTTTACCAGAAAACACAAGAGCTCATCAGCATATTACCAAACAACATTTTTTCTTTCTGAAGTGATATATCGACACTTTAATACTAAATTGTGTTAATATGTTTTATCATTATAAACTAAGCTGCATTTTATCGGTTTCAATAGGGGTGTAGATAACTTTTTTATATATTTCTATTTTATATATATATATATACATTAAATATATCTAAAAAAATATTTTAAATAAGTATCATTAGTTTAAGATCTAAAAATAAATTCGAAAATTCATCGCTATGACGTCACGGTCCTCTGATACAGATATCGTTCTTTTATGCATAAGGTATAATCAGCACTTGGGGAATTGACTCCAAGTTCTGATATGAGTGAGAGCGGCGTAACGTCGCGCCCTATTTACGGTCACGTGACAACGAGTGTAATTTTAATTTAAACAATATAATAAGCATAAAAGTGTAATTATCGGTAATAGTATATTAAACACTAGCAGAAAAGGAATGTATATTGTTTTCGTTTATTGTCTACACCCATATTTTTATTACCATATATATATTTAATGTAGTACCATATTTTCGATGAATTCGTAGTTCTCATCGACCATGTAATCGGCGACGCTCTCGAACGCGTTGTCACTTCCATATTTTCCGAAGGGAACGATCAGGTGCTGCACGTAGCTGCGCAGGAGAAATTGGAGTCGACGAAACTCGTTAGGGAGTAGTGCGGGCTCGCCGCCAGACGCATGAAGCAACTCAGACATGTACTGCTGACGAGCCTATTATAACCAATGATGTATCAAAAATCTAGATGTGTTATCTACGTACAACACTGACAACAAAAAAGCAAGACAATTGCCAGAGTATCACTTTAGTCACGCTTCAGCAAAACTCGTGATTTTTTGTGAAGTAATAGAAAAAATGCCTTCCTGCATTATTAAACAATGCACAACTACACACTAACAATAACAAAAGCAAAAAAGATATAATTTCATGCGTAAGTACCGTACTTACTATCTCTTTTATTTTAATAAAAATAATAAAACGCCATTGAACGAAGCATCGTGCATCGTGTTGTATGACGAGGGGACGCTAAGCTAAGCAAGCAAGTTTATAAACGTAAAGCTAAGCGAGTATGTTTATCTCGTTCTAACAAGAGGTATGCTGTATGTTTCTAATCTACCTATTACTAACTAATTTTGATTTCGTCGCGCCCTTTGTGCTTGTATTATAATATAACGCTACCACAATCAAGTTTACGCATTATAAAAATGCAAAAATGTACGGGTATGACGTGTCTCGAGAACTTGCCAAGTTTTAGTGCTTCATCTATAATCCAAATGCCCAAGTATCGGTGGAAGACTCTCACTAGTGGCAAATATAAAACAGAACGAAAGAAATTCCAGACCGAAAGAACGAAAATAATAAAAAAGAACTAAAGAAAATTGACCCATAGGTCTCCCCAGTAAGTTAATTTTTATTTTTTAAGGTAAATATATTTTGAATTTTACATAATTTATTTTTTTATTAAATTTTACATTATAATAAAAAAGTAATAAGAAGTCTTTTTATATAAAAAATATTAAAATGTAATCATATAGTAATTTCAAATCTTCCGGTAAGAACTTTTTTACTTCTAAATGGTTGTGAAAACTGTACTTGCCTACGGCGCTGGAGACGGCGACGGGCGTGTTGACTATCGCATTGCAAATATCTGTCGTAGAAAAGGCTGGCGAGCGCCAAACCTTGTGCCTGGGCGCGACCGGTGTTAGCAGTGCGGAAAAACTGCATTCCACCTGCTGTACAATAAACGCGTGACATGGTTAAAAGCAAACAATAGACAGATATATGGAATATTGTTTATGGTATACACAAACCGTAATACATTTATATAAAAACGGGGTAGTGGATGGTGAACCTAAAAACAACATATAAATATAGGCAATTGTTAATTAGTTACGATTTTAGTTTTTAAAATAGACCTATAAATAGTTAAATATTAATACTTATAATATAGTAACTATTATCGTATAAGCTATAATACATATAATATCTATTTATATACACAATTTCATGGACCAGAAGTGCTCTCTAACAAGTTTCCTAAATAAATTAATAGAATTAGCTTTTCTGATCGACAAAGGTAGCGCATTCCATAAAAAAAATATTCTTCATATGGGAATAAAAGAAAAAAGGACCATATGTATATTGCTTTCCAGACGATTTATTATCTCCACACATAATATAACGAAACCCGTTGCAGCATTAAAGAAGCGCAAATAAACAAATATAATAGACAAGCATTTCCAAAAATTGACGCTGAAAAATCCTCGACTGCGTCCGAGAGATGGTATACGATTGCAACAACAATCGTCGTTGAGAGTGCATTTTTTCAGAGAAATTGCTACGGCATGTGCATTATGGTGTGCAATAACATTCCTATGCATATTAGAAAACTGCCTGCAAGTCAGTTCGCTGCAGCTTTGGGTAAATGGTTGACTATAAAGTCTCCATATAACCTAAATGAATATTTCAATAATAATTAATATACGGTCAGTTGCACAAACAACCATTAAGGTTTAATGACGTCTTTAAGCTCTAATAAATGTCAAACTTGTATGGGTAATGTCGCTTTAAGCTAATATCAATTTTAATGGACGTTTGTGCAACTGGCTAATAGTCTGATATTTTGACATTAAATAAAATTATATTTACGAGTAATATGATATAATTCATGTTTTTATTCTAACATTATATTGATTGACCTTTTTGTTATAAAATTGTAATATTCTTGTTTTGATTGACTTGTGGTATGCAATCGTTTAATTTTTATTGATAAATTAATGAAAAAACATTTTTGCATGCCATACTTTAGTGAATCATGTGTGTCTCTTATTGTAACTTAAGCTATAATGTTTCCATGTTTCTTGCAAATAAATTTATTCTATTCTATTCTAGGAACTTCATAACGTTACTTTAGATTATTGTGAATTTTTTCATCTCGGATTTCAATATATTTATTTATTAGTTAAAATATCTCTCTTTAGAAGTTTCAAGCAAAATATTGTTAATTGCTACTTCAGCTACCATTTTCATTGAATCGGGAGTACAGCTTATATCTTTATCACTTGATGAACTCATGTTTTTTTCCTAATAAGCACGTGATTATAAAAAAAATCCCGAAACCAAACAACAATTAAAGTAAAAGTTTTCTAATCTCGCTTTTTTTTATTATAAAGAACTAAATAAAGAACTTTTTTTTTCAAGAACGTAATTGAGCTTCGCAGTTCGATATTTTATATTGATGGCTATTATACTCATACTAAGACAAAGTTGATTAGCGAAGAGGTCATTGGGCTGAATGCATGATATCTATTACCAGTATGATGGTAAAGAGTGACGTGTTTTTTTTTAATTACTTACCGCCTTAGCTACATTATTTCCCTAGAGCGCTTATTGGTCATCTACAAGCCCCATTTGGAGGTAATAAGGAACTACTTATCGAATTTGAGAGATGTAAAATAATTTTATTGATTCAATCCCTAATAAAAAACGTTCCTATTTTCATTATATGTATTGATGTTTTAAACTTTACAGTTATTTATAGATTTTAGTAATTATGGCTACAAATTTTTTATTTGTGTTTTAATATGTAAATTTAATTTATCTATTTAACACAGTCAAACTATTACGAATTACGTGAAATTGATTTGTTAGCTAACGTCACCATACCCATGCTATGTGAAACAGACTATAATAACACATTTTTCATGATAAACATTTTACCAAAAAACCTATGAATTATTATTTATTTTAATACATTCAAAATTTCAAGAAGAAAAGCAACTCACCATTTCTTGGTTGAGCATTGCTGGCGCTAGCATTGGCGCCCTGCTCCTGATTAGCCCTCTCAGAGGATTGTTGAGACGATTGCTCAGAGTTTTGTTCCTCTCCTGATGCAGCCTGCATCGGATCCTGAGTTTGACCTTGCTCTTGGCTTACGCTTTGGGTTTGACTCTGGCCTTGAGATTGAGTCGTGTTTTGAGCCGACGCCGGTCCTTGGTTGTCGATAAAGTTATGTAGTTGGACTGCTAGCGAATTCGGAATCTGAACGGCTACGCCTTCAACGCCGGGCATCAAACCTTGACGTATCACTGTTGATAGGAGATGCTGTAGCACATCAGCACTGGGAGCACCTCCAAAAGGCATCGGAGTGAACACAACTGAACACAAAAATAAATAAAAAAAATACAAACGGAAAGGAATATCAAATTTACTATGTTTTATAAGTAGCTTAAAGAACGTTAAGGTAAAGCAAAATAAAAATGTGAAGCTTTTGACATACTTAGACAAATAATAATTTATTCATCACCACCACCAGCCCTTTTTACGTCCCCACTGCAGGGGCTCAGGCCCTCCTTATGGATGGTTAAGGAGGATGGGCCATGACCCTCCACGCTGGCCCAATGCGGATTGGAGGGTATATAATTAATAATTTATTGCTTAACAAATTTGGGTTACTTCTAAAATTTGAGATGTCCCTTTGATTTCACTGTGTGCAAAAGGTAGAAGACATATAGCTAAACAAAAAAAACACGACGCAAAGCCGACGTCACTATTGCATACTACGTTTTATTTATTTAAATCCGAGTAATAAAATACATAGTGGTGCCGCTCCATCGTTTAATATAATCAGTCATATTTCAAATTATCCACTTGACCACAACGAGACGCTTGCAAAAAAGTTGTCATATCTTCAAATTACGATCTTAAGAAGATGCCTTTTTGGTTTATGACTCACCCTAAAACTCCCAGAAAAAAAAAGGCCGAGTTCTTACTTACAATAGAAAGGCACGACGAAGTGGGCGATTTAATTAGTATAATTAGTAAGTGGAGAATATTTATTCACGAATTACAGACATATAAATAATTATACAATTGGAGACAATGTCTTATCGTGTCTTCCGATGCATGGAAAATCTTGAGATTCTAAATTTGAAATTTTGACTCTTTTAATCTCGAGCACACCATTTTTTCGGTTTTTGGCGATAATCGTTTATTAGGTGTTTTGTGGTATTGTTTATAGTATGTTTTAAAAGTGGTTTTATTAATTACACAACACAAAGTGGTAAAAAGTGAAAATATTTGTTTAAATGAAATAATATTGTAAATTTTTGTCAACAACTGTTTCGTAAATTTAGTGCGGGAACGCGGGTATCATTTTGATAAACCTTTTGCGTTCCCGCGAATGCATTCCTCTGGATTGCATTGATATAACAATGGCAGTACCGTAGCGGCTTTTGCATCATATTCAGAGGTATTTTATACTTACCGCCTGCTTCAGATCGTTGAGCGGTCGAGGCTTGCGGAGCGGTGTTAGTCGCTGTAGCATTAGCGTTACCACCGACGAGGTTACTAAGACTTCCTAATCCAACGCCTTGCGGAATTTCCTCCATGCTCATTACAACTTCAACTCCTCCAAGTCCACCTTGACCCAATCCTCTAAATAGGTTCTCAAAATCTATAACAATGAAAATTACATAAAAAGTTAAAACGATGGCCTTCAACTTAGATTAACATCGATATAACACATCACATACAACACTAATTTACTGAAGCAAATATATTAAAACTTTTTCCCTAAAAGCAATTAACACTGAATGACCAAAAGTAGAGCTAGGTAACGGGTAGACACGACGACTTGGGAACGCTGAACCATGTTCAAATGTTAAGAAAGAGAGCTTACCAAGTAACACTTGACGACGATTAGCTTCATTCTGTTGAGTCGGACTCTGCTGCTGCTGATTCTGTTCAGGTTGAGTCTCCTGCTGTTGATTCTGCTGAATTGGTTGCTCCTGACTCAGTTGTTCCTGAGTCTGTGATTGGCCAGGAGCTCTCGCATTACTCAGCCCATTGAGAAGGGCGCTCTCTAAGGGGAATGCGATGGGCACTCTGGTCTCTATTTCTAACTGATAGGTTACCGGCTCTGGCTGTATGTTTATATTGACAGTCGGTTGCGTGGTATTCCTACCGGCTGTGACGGATTGCTGAGCTGCCGGTGTTGACTGGCTGTTGACGTTTGGGTCGGCAGCGTTGGACGACGTGGTAGTGGAAGTAGCTGTGGCGGCAGCGGTCGATTGTGTTGGAGCTGTGTTTTCGGTATCGCTTGTTCCGGTGGCAGTTGCAGCCGAAGTATTAGTGGATGGCGGCTGCGACTGTTGCCGGCGGTTGGACTGTATCACATTGATGTGCGCCTGTATTTTAATCATTCATTAATCAAAATGTATAGTCGTTAACAACGTAATGAATAAAGGCATAAAAACATGTAAAAGAGTATAGGAGGATATTTAAAATATAACTTTCAATCATTTATGATTTTTCTCCAGATATAATAACAAAGTTAGTTTTTTATTTAACATGTGATTTTATTTAGTAATACTAAATATAAATTAACAATATAATGTATAAATATTATGATAACCAATTGTTCATAAATAGAATATAGTTATTTTAAAGCAAACTACCTGCATCGGGATCAGATGACGAGTGACTGCAGTCTCAGCGCTAAGGCGCGGATTACGTTGGCCCACAGTGAATGATATGTCACTGATTGCATGGTACGCATGCGCAAAACTATGCATCAGATCGGAAACCATGTCCACTGTACGTTGATTGCTTTGTCTCTCTTCATCCGTATACAGAGGTGGCTATAAATACACATCGAGTGGAAAACTAAGTTTAGGTTATAATATATACTAAAAACAAACAGAGTTCTGGAACAGGTCTATATAAGGCCTGATCTAGAACATGCGCAGGTTTTAAAAGGTATATAAAATTGTAGGTAGTTAAAATTGTATTGAAACTCAAAATTGTCGGATTTTGAGTTTCAATACAATTTTTACTACCTACAATTTTTTGTTCGAAAATCTTGTAATTCAATTTGATATTAAACTAAACCAGCTACTGTCCCGCAACTTATCCCGTATCATGTAGCTACTCGTAGGTGAAAGAATTTTTTAAATCGGTTATTTTTCTATGCAAACAACAAACTTTTCCTCTTTATATAATTAGTATAGAAAAGGTGTATATACAGTACCTCGGCGTCGTTGGCGGCACGCAGCAGGCTCACGTAGGTAGCACGAAACGGTGCAAACTGTTCCTGCAAAGACTCCAACTCTTCGATGAGCTGACCAAGGTGACGTGGCTGAGTGTGCCGGGCGCGCATAGCCCTCGCCACCCTATGGCTCCTTAAGTTAAAAAATAATGAAGAAAATTAAAAACATACAATCTGTAACATAATTAATGCACTTGCTTAGTTTGTATAAAATCAAAAACTGGTTCTATTTTTAAACAACTTCTAATATAGGTAAATTATTTGCTAAATTTAATTAGAATAAAGTGTATTATGGTCACCTGTATATATTACAGACGTAACACATAAAAAAAAAACTTAATGTAATAATAATACTTTTTACAATGCACTATATTCTTAGTTTGTAATAAAATACATTATAAGAAAAAAAAAACAAAGAAAAAAAAGCTTTCATTTAACGCGTCTTGAGTGTAAAATGCTGTTAAGCGCTAAAATGCACAAATTCATAAAGCAAAGAGTTAAAGAGAGAAATAATATATTTATCGCAATACAAGTTTATCAAATTTTCTATTTCACATGTAATGTAAATGATGTCTTTTCGTTATACTAATGTATAGTAAATATAAATAGAAATACTTAAGGGTTTGGCACAATGTAATGATACTGTGGCACAATGCTCGCCGTGTAAAATGTGATCGCTGTAATGTGCTAGCCGATACTAGTAAGAATCATAATTATTGACTAAACTTAAAAAGTTCTTTGAATCTCGAAACAGGCATTTTAATCATAATAATATTTTGTAACGAAATTTTTATAAATCATTGTGGTATTTAACTGTGGGTTTATTGAGTAAAAAAAGTGTTGCTGTGCCGTGACAAGGTTCATGTTATGATGCTGTTTTTGGTGTAGAATATAAATTTAAGTATATCGGGAAGTAATGTTATTTTTTTTTTTCAATTTACAGTATTTATTTAAGTATTTAATAATGGATACAATCACACTATTACTGGTATATATAACTAGGCGTTAATGACTAAATAATAGAAAGTTTAACTTATTTACTATTTTAATATTTATCAATTTTAATTTGCTAAACTACAGAATAAATGATCGTCCGCCCGTTCTCTCCAGAATTTATGAGACGCGAATATGAAAAATATGGTTTTAAGCCTTGATGTTCGACCTAAATACACAAACAATAAGGAATCATCATCATTACATGGGGTTGCACCACAGGCATTACGCCAATAAAATATTTTTAATGGATGCTCATAGACTTGCTTGACTGAACTTTGCCAGAGAACACTTAGAATTTGATTGGTCTAATATAGTATTTTGAGATAAAATCAAATCAGCTTTAGCAGTATAGAGATGATCATGTAATTTCAAATAGAATGAGGTTGAATTTCTGTAAATATTGGGAGCTGGATGAGTGCGGATGGTGTATGTGCTCTCTGCCTTCTCGAGCAACGACTGATGAATTGCTACCGACAGTCATGTTTACCCAGAGAACAAGGTACCACAATTTGATTATGTTCAAGATAATTTAGCGATCCATAATGCGAGAATCGTAAGAGACTGGTTTCGTTCACACAATAATGTTCAAATAATACCTTGGCCATCAAGATCTTTGGGGACTTATGGTCCAAAGACGGTCACATCAAAACGAAAGAACCAAACATGCTCTAGACTCTGTAACGATGTAAATTATCATATGAAAAAAATTCAAAAATATGCATATTCATTATTGAGTTGGGAGTTTAGAGAGTGATTGTAATTTAATTTGAGAGGAAATGCGAGGAACCGATATTTGCTCACGACTTCTTGAGTCAGTGAGGTTTTGCCTTTTAGAGGTCATAGAAGCCAATGGCGGTAACATCTGTTACTATTTTTTTTTGGTTTCCTAAAGTAAATAACTATTCCTGTATTTTTTTTTTTGTATATACTTATAATTTAATAGTGAATTTAACAGTTTATTAAAAAGAATCTATTAGTACTATTGTTTTTGTTTTGACATTTTCACCGCCATTCATATTACGACGTCATTGGTTCCATCAAAATCAAACTAGAATAAGTAAGCACATCGTAACAAATTGTAAACATCGTTATCAATCAGATAAAGATGGCATTAGATTTTGTCTGATAGATCTACAAGCGAAAGTAATCTTTATCGTCTATGAATCTGCAAAAAACATTCAACCTTAGGGTGGTAAACCATTTTTTTGGCCAACAGTACATTCGTAGTTGCAAGCTAAGAGGTAATTTTAACGTCATTGTATGGATGTTAATATTGAAATAAAATTCGGCTTATAGTTTTTTTATTCAAAATTCAATTTCTAATTGGGGTGTACAGAGATTATTTTTAGATATCATTTCTATTACACGTATATTGAACCATCCACAAAATAATGTTGAAATAATTCCGCACGAAAGAATAACTGAATCGTCATACAATGCGAATAAACTAAACCAAACCACACTATGCACAATAAAATTGATCTCTGAATGTCATCGCACACTGATGTTAGTGATCGCAAAAACGGCAAGCATATTTGGAAAAAATATGAATGTCAAGGAATCGAAAACATGTAATGACGTGTCTTATAACGAATAATAATAAAAAATAAATAACAAAATCTGAGATTTCATTATCAGGTAAAACAATTCTTGGTAATTTTTGATATCCTCCCCCTAATGGTCAGTTTTTTGATCCGTGGTTAACTCAACCATTTGTTAAAATCTTCGACAAATGGTTAAATATCAGAAAAATATGTTTTTTGATTAATAGTTAGCCTAACCAATTGTCAGAATTCCAACCATTGGTCAAAAAATTTAACCATCACTGGAAGCTAGGTTAAGCAAATGACCAATGGTTAAAAGAACAGATGTACAACTGCGTTGTATTTACTTGGTCCCTTGTTATTGTTTTTAACGTTGTTTTTATAACCTACATGATTCCATAGTGAATTTGGACATTAGTTATTTTTGGGATTTCGTTTTATGATGCAATTTCATAGGAAAATATTAATTGTAATTTTTGTGTTTTAGGGTTATTGAAAAAAGTTATATTTTTATCTTGATCATCCTTAGTATATTTGTACTATATAAAACAATATGGTTTCTTGTTTCCACAGGCATATGCCAAATTATTCAATTATTAAAAATCTTATAAAATCCACGAATAGACAATACAAATGGTAAATATAGCTACAATATATAAAAACGTATTACTCGATTTATTTTCCAACATTACAATCCCACTTTGGATACAAGATTCTATATTCTTTCACGTATTTTTCTATAAAATAAATAAAAAACAAATATATGCTTTTTATAAAAAAGTTAGGTTTAAAATAACTCGATTTTTTT